GACCCTTCTTCATTTTCTGAAGAAGGGTCTAGGCCCGAAATGTCAGCCTTCCTGCTCCTCTGATGCTGCTTGGCCTGCTGTGTTCATCCAGCTCTACACCTTGTTATCTCAGATTCTCCAGCATCTGCAGTTCCTACTATCTCTAGATGAACATCCTGCTGTGTTAAACACAATGGCTGAAGAAATGTTGGTTGCACATTGGTTTTAATTTTCCAATATTTTCAGGATTTTGGAGTAGTCCCATCAGATTAGAAAATAGCAACTTCAATTCCTCTGTTTGCAGGACGAAGACAAAAAAAAAGCAGGAAATACAGGCCAGTTGCCATGACGTATGTCATAGTGAAAATGGCAAGGTTACAGAAGGGAACTTAGTCAATATGGTTTTGTGAAAACGGAAATCATGTCTGTAGTATTCTTAAAGGAATTAACAAGCACCATGGATAAAGGGGTAGTGGTGAATATGATGTATCTACATTTCCAGGAAGGCATTTGTCTCTCAGAATGCTGTACATATTAAGAGCACAAAGTGCAGGATGTATCACATTGACAAGGATAGAAGATGGGTTAGTTAACAGGAAGGAGAGGGAAGGCATAAAGGGGTTGTTTTTGGGTTGGCAAGATGTGACGAGTGCTACAGGGTTCAGGCTGTCGTCTCAACTGTTTGCAATGTATGTCAATGACATGGATGAAAAGGTTGAAGATATGGTAGCTAACTTTGCTGATGAGAAAGATATTGGGAGGAGAACATGTTGACAAAAAGACATATGAGTCTGCAAGGAAGTAGAGTTAGGTTAAGTGAGTGGGCAAATGAAATATAATGTTGGAAAGTGTGAATGTAATCCCTTTAGCGAGAGATTGCAAAAGGATCCGAATGTCTTTGTATATGAATCAGAAAAAGTTGGTATAGTGATGCAGCAAATGAAGGTAAATGGAATTTAGTTGTTTATAGAATGTGAAAACAGGCCCTTTGGCTCAACAAGTCCACATTGACCCTCAGAGCATCCCACCCAGACCCATCCACCAATAATCTACACATCCCTGAGCACTATGGGTAACCTAGCCTGCACATCTTTGGACTGTGGGAGAAAACCTGAGCACCTGGAGGAAACCCATGCAGACATGGGGAGAATGTGCAAACTCCACACAGACAGTCACCCAAGGGTGGAATCGAACCTGGGTCCCTGGTGTGTAAGGCAGCACTGCTAACCACTGAGCCACTGTGCTGCCCCTTTATATCAAGAAGAATGGAATATAAAAGTAGGGAAGTTTTACAACAATTGTATAGGACATTTATGATACTATATCAGGGGTACTTTGTACAACTTTGGTCTCCACAGTTAAGAAAGGACATACCTGCATTGTTATTGGTACAGCAAAAGTTTACTAGGCTGTTTCATGATGAGTGGACGAGTAAATTGGGTCCATATCCTCTTTGAACAAAGGCAAAATACTGCAGATGCTGGAAGTCTGGAAAAACTCAGCAGGTCTGGCAGCATCTGTGGAGAGAGAAACAAAGTTAATATTTTGAGTCCAACGTAACGCTTCTCCAGAGTTTTCTTCTGAAGAAATGTCATACCGGACTTGAAATACAAACTTCCATTTTTCTCTCCATTAATGATGCCAGACCTGCTGAGTTTCTCCAGCATTCTCTGTGTTTGTGCCATCCTCTCTGAGTTCAGAAGAACAAGAAGAGATTTGATTGAAATCTAAGATTCTGAAGGGCAACGATAGGATGGACTCTGAGAAATCACTTCCACTACTTGGGAAATTGAGGCCATTGGGGAACAGTCTCAGGATAAGGTGCCAACCAGGACTAAGATGAGAAAAAATTCACTCGAAGGATTTGTGAACCTTTGCAATTTTTAATTCCAGAGGGTGTTCCATTGTTTAAATTTTTAATGCTGAAATAGTCAGGCTTTTCGTCTTTCAGGGAATTGAGGGAAATGGGGAGTGGGAAGGAAAGTGGAATTGAAACCCAAGATCAGCCATAATTGTATTACAAGGTGTAGCAGCCTAGATTGGCTGAATGTCTCCTTTTGGTCCTATTACCTGTGCTCTTAAATGGTTTGCTTTTGAGCTTGTAGGTGGTCCCAAGTATGACTGTATAAACTGGGCTGTTTTATTTACAATTGACAATTCTTTCTTTTCACAGTTTCTTTGCAGAGCCATCTTCAGTTATGAAAAGTATTCCAAAATTTTCACTATTCTTCCTCGTGCTGGTCTCGGCCATTGTTGTATACTTGCTTTTAAGCCCCTCTTGGAATAAGATGATATTAAAATTAGGTGAGCTGACAAATGTACTTGCAAATTACCCGGACACATCAGTTGTCACTGGCCGAATGAAACTACCAACAGCTAGCCACACAGAGAGTGTGAAACACCCACACCTATCCACACAGCCTGGAATTATGTTTCTGCAGACGTCCAGTCAACTAAACCTTTCACCATTGGCCATGTGTGGCATCGAATCAGCAGCAAGACTAAACCCAAACAAACCAGTTTATTTTTTCATGATAGCATTCAATGGGAATGTATCTGCATATCGAGAACCTGAGTACGAAACCATCCCTCTGCTTTCTTCATTCAAGAATGTGGTCATCTTGCCCTTGAAACCTAGAGAATTGTTCAGCGACACACCCTTGGCTGGATGGTATGAGAAGGTAAGGAATTGTACGGAGCTAGCTGCTTGACTTGTGGATGGTAAAAGCTGTTATTGATCATCAATCTGAAAAAAAAAAGTAGGAAACTTTACGCTGACAAGCTAAATCCCAGTTTCTATATGTACAATAATGGATAATGCTGAACTGGAATTCCTTGTGGGTTTTAAATTAAAATATAAACAGAAAGTCTGTGTACCATCTGTGCAGAGAGTAAAATGTTATTGCTTTGAGTCCAATATGACTCTTCTTCGGAAAAAAAGCCATACCTGACTGGAAATGTTAACTGTGTTTCTTTCCCCACATTTGCTGCCAGACCTGCAAAATTTCTCCAATACTTTCTATTTTTATTTCAAATCTTCAACATCTGCACTAGTTTCCTTTATTGCTGTGTTTTGCAATCAAGTAAAATGTAGGGTATGCAGGGTAGCTTGACCTTACTCTAAGATAACAGGTCAGCAAAAAATCATGGGGTGAAGGGCTTGTACTGTGCTGTACTGTTCTCTGTTCTTAAGTTCAGAGCAGAATCTTAAAGGGATTTGAACGATGTGGGTGATGGAAAGATTTCGGGCAGAATGAGGTGGGAAGTCCGCTGAGGCCGACACTCAATGTTGGCAGCATCTCGCTCCATGATCTGTGCATTTACTGAGCGATGAGGTGAGTTTCTCACCTCCAAGGTGAACACCAGGTTCCAAAATCTCAGGGCACAATCCATGGGCACCGACCACACAAGCACCATGTCCAGAGATGTTGGCATTCAACATCTTCTTGTTGCTATGAACCCTCATGGTACATCTCCAATCCACTTGCATGACATTTCTGCTCTTCAGTACTGCACCTTGGGCTGTCCTGGTAACTCCCATTGTGATGCTGCAGCAAGGACACTGTGTGCTCAGGGACACACACCCAGCTCATGGACTGCACCAGGCTGTATCTCCAGGCTCCTTACTGTCATAGAGCTCTGTCATTCTGAGCCTACCTGGATGATCACAGCAGCCTGCCTTGCCTTTTTGTGCTGTGCCCCCTCAGCCCGAGATACCAGGTTCCTGTTACTTTTGCCTTGCCTTGCCATTCAGTGCAGACACAAAACCAGGAAGCTTCTTGTCAGCAGGCTCTCAGTGAAGGGGAGTAGCCTTCTCTCAGGGAGGCCTGCACAGTAAGTCAGGGGCATCGTTCGATATCAGTCCAGGCCTTTGACACAGTCAGTCAGTCACTCGGTGTAGTCAGAGGCAGGAATAATGGGGTGAGGAGCTGAATATTAGACATCCCACCACCCATCTGGATTCTTTCTGCCTTATCGAGGGCTGTTTTCCTCCTGGAATGAGAGAGAGGCAGGTATTAAGGGAGATGGAAGTGGCTGGCACAGCTATTACTGTTTGTACAAGTGGAGAGGTGTCCTGAGTGAGTGAGTGGGCAGCACAGAGGGTATACAGGGTTAGTGGTGTCGGGGGTTCAGGTGGGTGAGGGTGAGTGAGTGCAGACAATAGTGAGAATGGTGAAGCCCTGTTCAGAGGTGGCTACACTGGCAGAGATAGGTGAGTGTGAAGTATTGGAGAGTAGATGCTAGCTCCTACCCTGAATGGAGGAAGCAATGTCTCTGCCTGTTTCTGCCGCACTGAACTCATCTCCTCCTGCCTCGACTCTGTTCTTTCCCCTCTGGTCCAGATGAGTGAGCATCATATGAAGGGAGGGGACAACATTTGGAGGGAAGGGTAATGTAAAATATTGAAACTTGTAATTGATGAGCCTTTATTCTGTTATTTTACAGGTAGATCCCAGCAAGGAAAGGTACTGGTTCCATGTGCTCGCTGATGGCTGTCGGCTTGCCTTGCTGTGGAAGTATGGGGGCATCTACCTGGACACGGATATCATTTCAATCAAACCCTTGGACTTCCGAAACTTTGTTGGTGCAGAATCAGTACGCTTTGCTAATAACGCAGCTTTGGGATTTAACCGCTCGCATTCCTTCGTCGAGAGTTGCTTAAGGGATTTTGTGGAGAAGTACAATGGAGCCGCTTGGGGCCAACAGGGTCCTAGACTGATGACCCGGATGGTGAAGACGTGGTGTGAAACTGACAATCTCGCAAACCTCTTCAACAAAGATTGCAAAGGGATTATGTTTTTGTCTGACACCTGGTTTTACCCAATTCCGTTCAGTAATTGGAAAAAATACTTTGAAAAAAATCAATGGAACAAAAACAATGATGATATTGAAAAGGAATTCTCAAAGACGAATGGCGTACATGTTTGGAGTTTTGCATCTAGTCGCGAGAAGATCCAAATCAAAGGAAGTCAATCTTTAATAGAATATTTCTTCAGCACATACTGTCCAAGCACATATGAAACTCTCCCAAAATAGTGTGTGATGTGAGTGTTAGTTTACATATTGCTTTACATGTTTGTAGTTAAATAACCTAACAAAGTGATCATGGTGGGTAGCTGTTGGCCTCATCTTCATCTGGATCTTCCTACTGTCTGTGAATCATAGTAAGGAAGGGGAGAAGTGGGATCCTGCCTCTAGTTTTCCTCCCTATCTTCCTCCCACCTCACCCCACCATCTGCCCCCTATCCGAAACAAAACCTGGAAACCATGTCCCATTTTTATAGAAAGCAAAAGACTGCAGATGCAGGAACTTCTGAAACAAACACAGAGAATGCTGGAGAAACTTGCAAAGGAGTTCTGAAGAAAATCATTCTGCACCCGACTCTCTTTCTTCTCCACAGATGCTGAGAGACTTGCTGATTTCCTCCAACATTCTCTGTCTGTTTCCATTTTTGTAATGCTAAGTGCAGTATCCTGGGAAATTGTGCACTAAAAATGACCAAGATACCATGGGCCAGAGGTAATGTGACTGGGCTAGTAATTTAGAGGTCCAGGCAAATGGTGTGTGGGCGTGTGTTCAACTTCCTACCATGGAACGTAATTTCAGTTGATAAACTTGGATTTGTTGATTGCTATAAAAACCCATCTGGTATAAGAATGTCTTTAAGGAGGGAAATCTACCAACCCCAGTTGGTCTGGCCCACGTGTGACTCCATACCCATTTCTCTGACACGACCTAGCAAGCCACTCACTCCATTGTATCAAACCACTACAAAGCCTAGAATAAGGAACAAAACCAGACAGACCACCAGACATTTCCCCAGGCGCTGCTAACAACCAGACCATGGTCCCAAACTTGTAAAGTCCTTCTTACTAATGTCTGGGGACTGGTGCAAAGTGGGAGAGCTGTCCCACAGACCTATGGAGCAATGGGCTGACACGCTTGTGCATGTGGAATCATACCTTACACACAATGCCCCTGACACCGCGATCAGCATCCCAGGGTATGTACTATCCCACTGACGGGTAGTATATATTTGGGAGGGAGTTGCCCTGGGGGTCCTCAACATTGACTCCAGACTCCATGAAGTCGAATGGTATCAGGTGAAACAAGAGCAAGGAAATGTCCTGCTTATTACCATGTACTGGCTTCCCTCACTCGGCTGATGAATCAGTGCTCCTCCATGTTGAATACTACATAGAGTGAGCACTGAGGGTGATAAGGGCATATGGTGAGGGATGGGGACTTCAATGTTTATCACCAACAGTGACTTGGCAGCACCACTACTGACTGAGTTGATTATGTCCTTATAGACATAGCTGCTAGACTGAGCCAGCAGCAGGTAGTGAGAGAGCTAACAAGAGGAAGAAACCGACTTGAACCCATCATCATCACTCTCCTTGTGGCAGATGCATGTATCTATGGCAGTATCACTGGGGAGGGACTAGCGCACAGTCCTTGGAGACAAAGTCTGTCTTCACTTTGAGAATACCCTCCATCATGTTGTGTGGCATGGTCACAGTGGCAAAAACATCAGATTTTGAATAGACCTGGCATCTCAAAACTGGGCACCATGAAGCACTGTCAGACATCAGCATCAGGAAAATCATATTTCACCACAATCTATAACCTCATGGCCTGACATATTCCCCCATTCTACCATCAGCACTAAGGATACAATCTGGTTCATTAAATAATGCAGGAGGATAGAAGGTAGTGTTCTGCATGATAGGTCATGGGGCACAATGACGATACAGTTTCCAATGGGGGAAGGACTGACTTTGAGAGTGCCTGAGTTAAGATCATAGAATCCCTACAGTGTGGAAACAGGCCCTTCGGCCCAACAAGCCTACACCGAACCTCAGAGCATCCCACCCAGACCCATCCCCCTAGAACCTAATCTACACATCCCAATGGGCAATTTAGCATGGCCAATCCACCTACCCTGCACATCTGTGGGAGGAAACCGGAGCACCAGGAGGAAACCCATGCAGACAATGTGCAAACTCCACACAGATAGTTGCCCAAGGCTGGAATCAAACCCAGGTCCCTAGAGCTGTGAGGCAGCAGTGCTAACCACTGAGCCACCGTGCCACCCATGCCAGAGGTCATCCATCCTTCCTGCAGGAGTGCTGTTCTGCAGCATTTGCACACTTTACAAGGACACTTGAGTAAGTTGATGATCTTACAGGTGTCACTGAGGGTAACACTTTGAGATTACGTAACACAGAGCCAGTGGGAAATCGCAATTATAAAGATATCTGAAACCTGTCAGACTCTGGCCATACTGAAATAGAACAAGTGTTTGAACCACCGGCCCTTATTTTTTAGAAAACTCTATCTCAGTCTCTCTGTTTGTCAGAATTCCTGCCCATCACTTTCCAGTTTCAGTCGCAGAACCTGCAGGTATCATGGGGCATGGGAAATGGGAATCTAATCTTCTGTTTCTCTGAATCCAGGGCTTAGTATTCTCTTGAATAATACATGGTGTTACTTTCTGCTCTAAGATTACTTTGATCAGATCGGGGACAGTTAATCTTTGATCCTCCATTATCATGCTTCAGGATCTCAGAGACTTTCCTGGAATCCTATCTCTTGGTGGAATCCCACAATCATTGTGTTCCCACACTCCATCTCTGGTTTGTGACTGTTTCAGTAATTTATGGAATGTGGGGTTTAATGCTGGTGATGCTGCCTGTATGGAAAATAATTGTATACCTGACACTGAAAATGGGATCTGAAAGTCATTTTGATCTGGCAGATTCTTTGTAAGACGCATTTATGAAAATTTTTTTCAAGGACAAATATATTTCTATATGTTTATTTAAGTTTAAAACATTCTCAGGTAATTTATGTATCCGTTTGGAGAATGAGGTACTTTCTTTTAAACTGTTGTAAAAGTTTTAGATTCCTAACTTGTATACTTTGATTAATCTGTTACCACATGAAAAAATGATTTATTTTTAAGTGACACCAATGTTGATGTATATAAATGTAAATCTCTGCTGATGATTTTGACAAAATAAATTGGATTGGAAAGGTTTGAATTTATTAGTCCCCATTTTTCTTATATTGATTCACGAGATGTAGGTGTCACATGTTGGGTCAGTATTTATTGCCCATCCCTTGTCGTCTTCTTGAACTCCTGCAGTCCAATTGTGTAGGGACATGAATGTTGGATTGAGTCAACAGGTTAAGAGGTGGGACTTCACATTCCCATCGCTGCTTTTGAAGGGTTGTTCTCCTGAGCATGGAAATGTTTGGTAAAATCAATGATTGTAACCTGATGTGGATTCCACTCTGTCAGTGTTCTTCCTCTGATGGCCTGGGAACAGTGGATATGTGTATACATTATTATTTCACTACCCAGAAAGGCATTGGGATGGGGGATCATGGTGGTGTTGACATCGTCAGCTTCGAAGGACAAATTAATTTGTAGAGCCATTCTAAGGGCAGAAGTGTGACCATGAGTGAGTGTAGTGCACTGTCAGACTAAGGAAGAAACTTGGCGTCAACAGTGGCTCAGTAGGTAGTGCTGTATACCTCTGGGTTTGTCAGTTGCGGGTTCAAATGTCTACCCCTTGGGTTTGTGTAAATAGTGCAGGCTTACTCTCCAGTGTGGCACTGAGGGAATGCCTTCTTTTGGAAGAGATGTTTACCCAAGGTGTCGTCTGCCCCTCAAGTTAAAATGAAAGTTGCCAAGGGAGGTGAATGACAGGAAAGTTCTCCATGTTACCTTGACCAATGTTTATCTCTCAAGCAACATTAAAACAAACAAATGGTCTGATAATTCATCAAACTGATCATTTGTGGGATCTTGATGTGTACAAAATGACTTGCATTTTCTACATTACAACAGGAATTGCAGTTCCAATGTACATACCTTGGGATGTTTTGAGATCATAAATGCTTTTTTTCTATAGATTCTTCAAGAATCCATCGTGTTTCAGATTCTCCTGTTACCTCCAAACACGTTAGTGGCCTCTTGGGTCTTTGACACATCTGACGACTAAACCCACCTGGATGTCTGACAACCTGGGGCAGGTGGGCAAGGAACACACACTTGCAGGGACTCAGATGTTGGTTACTAATAGTTCACATATTGAGTTAGATGTAGTTCTTGGGGCTAGAGGGAGAAAAGGGTATGGAGAGAAAGCAGGAAAAGGGTAATGAGTTGAATGATTGGTGATAACAGTAAATGATGTAGCAGGCTGAAAGGGCTGATTGGCCCACTCCTGCTCCTAATTTCTATGTTTCTATGCCCAGTCCCCAAGGCTCCTCATGTCTCAATCAGGTAGTTGAAATTATAACATTGCCTGGACGTGCAACACCTTCAGGCAATTTCTAACACAAGAGCATGGTTGTAAAAAAAGACCATAACTTATATTTCCATTTCATTGCTCATAGAATGTCAAGGGACAACTAACAGCCAGTGTTTTGCATGACAAGGTCAGTACCTTTTTTTATACATTCATGGGATGAGGGCTTCACTTGCTACTCCAAAATTTATTGCCCATTCCTACATGCCATGAGGGTTTATTCATTCATTGGGAGAGGGCCTTGTTGACCAGGCCAGCATTTACTGCCTTCCCTAACTGTGGGTCTGGAGTCACATGGAGGCCAGATCAGGTAAGGACGGCAGTTTTCTTCCCTGAAGGATATGAGTGAACTAAGTGGGATTCTTCTGACATTTCATGGATCATAGAATCCCTACAGTGTGGAAACAGGCCCTTCAGCCCAACACCGAACCTCAGAGTATCCTACCCAGACCCATCCCCCTGCAACCCACCTAATCTACACATCCCTGAACATTATAGGCAATTTAGTGCGGCCAATCCATCTAACCTATACATCTTTGGACTGTGGGAGGAAACCAAAGCACCCAGAGGAAACCCATGCAGACACAGGGAGAATGTGCAAACTCCACACAGACTAATTGCCTGAGGGTGGGATTGAACCTGGGTCCCCAGCACTGTGAGGCAGCAGTGCTAACCGCTGAGCCACCATGCTGCTCCCATGGTTTTGTGCTTCTCATTAGACTCTTACTTCCAGATTGTTATTGAATTCAGATTTTACCATCTGTCACAGTGGGATTCATATCCATGCCATGATTGCTCAGACTATCAGCATCCTCTTCTCATGCTTTACAAATTGAGGGTTATTTCTAAGTCTGGTTTCTTGAATGTCAGTCCTAATGACTGCAGGACAGAACAAAAAAAGATTAGATATTTTGACCGTTTTTAGCAAAGTTTACATTGTATACTGCCAAGCAATTATAATGAGGCATGTTAGACTAAATCTCATTGATGCCTAACTGTAATAATCTGTGATGTTATATAAGTGACCTTGACTCAAGTAATTTGAGAATCTAGGAGAAGTAGCATAGATATGAACTAGAACAGGAAGTATTCTCACAGTTGTAAATAATTTACAATGAATTTTGAATGTTTAATAGTTTTATAGAACTCTAGAGTTATTGCATCTAAAGTAAGTGACTTGGAAATATATCGCTGTTCCTTCACTGCTGCTGTGTGAAAATCCCAGAATTCCTTCCCTAAGGAGATTGTGGGTCAATCTGCAGCAGGTGAACTGAAATTGTTCACGAAGGCAGCTCACCATCACCTTCTCAAGAGCAACCAGGAACAGGCAAGAAATGCTGGCCAGATTGTGATACCCATATCCCACGAATGAATTTGATAAAAACAAATTGCATTCCTGAAAATTACAACTTCATACAAAACAACCATGATAAAGTGAGAGTTGGAGTACATCAGCATTACTGGCTCAGAAAATAAACCAGTGGCATCAATACAGGCAACTGATGATGGAAAAGGAACTGCATCAGGATTGATTCAAACCTGCAGCTTATCTTGAGAAACTGCACAAAACTTGGAGATCATGTGCTGCCTGAAGCCTTAAAAACTACCAAAACTCAAAGCCATACAACTTTGGGACCTTATCTCACTGACTGCTGCTATCTCTTAAATTGTGAGGGGGTGGATCTGTAAAGTTTAGATACTTCAGGATTCACCGAAGATGTATGCATCTTTGAGCAGTAAAACTTTACAATATGAGTAGTAAAACATTTATTCAGCTACAAAATAGTTCAAGAAATACAGAAATAACCAGGTGCATGTGGTCTGTGGGCTAAGCAGGGGCTGCTTGATAACCAACAGGAAGTAACACAATGAAAGGAAGTACAGACCCAGCTCATTCCACCTGGAGGTGAGGCTCAATGAGGTTCTGTGTGGCTTTTCATGCTCGATGATGCAAAGCTTGTTCATGGTCGCTTCAATGTCCCACCCAATTAACACCCCGCTCTCACATTCATCATCAGGAGATTGCTGTCGATCTCTGTTGGCCCCTGTATCCAGGTCATCCTCCATTAGTAGCTGTAGTTGTGAAGCGTACAGTGTACCACAGTGATGTGGAACGTCCTTTCTGAGCTGTACTACAAGGACCTGCGACAAATCATCAAAAACTTTAGCTGTTCCCACTCTGGCCTTCACGGAAATGTGGTCAGTGTAGCATCTGAAGGTTTTGTAAAGATGTCGTTAGCAATGTTTGTAGTAGGTAGCCCTTTTCTCCCAGTAGTCATCCCAGTAGGATCTTGGAAAGAGGCAGGGACCCATGATTTTTCTAGTATGTGCACACCTCCAAATTCTGACATCAATGGGTACAAAGAAGTCTGGCAACAAAGCCTTTCTTTCAGACAAATTCTGAAAGTTAGAGATGGGGCACTCTCAAAGCAATATGTCTATACAGCACTGCACCTGGGGGAAATCAGCAATGGTGGAGAATCTCACTGTCCCAACTGCCTGACTCTGTTAGTCATGGGGGAAGACTCTAAACTAGTGTAATCTGGAAGAAATAGTATCAGTGATATCCTGGATGCA